AGCCCAGTACAATGTGTTTATAATTATAAAGTGGTGTGAAGAAAAAAGAGTTCTAAGATTGAAAGGTTGTGTGTAGAGCGTTTTATTAAAAATGTTATCATCTTACAAACAGTTTTTTTTTTATAAAAGTCTATGAAGATAATTTTGGCCGTGCGGTAAAACTGTCACTTTACACTCGTCTGTGCGTAAAATGCTCAGGCGACTGTAAATACAGTCTTTCAATAGGTGTCAATTGTACGTTAATTTGACATTTACATGTCAGGAGGCCAAAAATTAATTTTACACAAGTGTGAGATCACGTTTTGGTTTAGTATAAAAAAAAAAATAATACTTGATTTACCTATGTTCGTGTTTCCATTTTTTTGACACCTATAGTTGTAACTATGGTAACAAAAGTGCAAGAATAAAAAATATCATAGTAACAATGTTTTATCATTAAGACCAGTGGCGGGTAAATAAATATTTTTTTAATAAAAAAATCGTATCATGTGCAATAAAAACAAATAAAGTTTCCCAAATTCCAGAAATAGTTAAAGAATGAGTGTGGGATTAAGCAATCGACATCTGTTTACATTATTTTAGATGAAAATTGCAAAATGCACGCGCCGTCGTCGTTGCGAAATAATTTGGAAAATATTCAACTTGACCTAAATCGTCTTGAAAAAAATTGTTTTGAAATGAGACGAAATCGTCATCGAAAAGAGGCGTATTTTTGGCCCTTTGTGCATCCTGTTCCTGTGACAAAACGCTCGAAAATAAGTTCGTGTCCGTCCGATTCATGGTTTAAAAATAGCCCCCCGAAACGTTGTTTAAAATCCAGGTCTGAGCAATTTGAAATCAGTCCAGTTGATCAGATCTCGAGACGCCGATCGTCACCCATCATGGTATACGAATCCGACTTCTACACGACCAGAAGGCCCTATCGCCCTTCGTACTCGACGTACAGCGTATCGGTGAGTGGCCCTTTCTGCAATAACCATCAAAACTTTCCACCAAATGCTTGCAAATATCGAAATTATTTATAGACGAGACGCGATTTTGCACACGCTGAAATTTCCGATTACGTTTCCAAATTTAGTCGCATCTAATACGGGCCTACGTTACAGAAACGCGAGATTCCGTGGGAGAAAGTGCCTTTTGTCCCAAGACCAAGTCTGGTACCAGATCCCATCACAGCCTTCGGCAAAAAGAAAACCGTTGAGGAGGTTTTTCGACCAGAACGAAAAAATATTCTTTCACCGAATGAAAGAGCCAAAATCAAACCGAAAATTCTCGTTGAACCGCCCAAACCGTATTTATCGGCGCGCGACATCAACAGAGAAAAAATTCTCAATACAATTAAGCTAAAAGAGAGGCATTTTGATGATACCATGGATGTGGTTTTACCAAGACTTCATAAAGTCGCCGAAAATCCCAATCTGCCATATAAAAAACGAATCGTCATGACTTCAGACCAATTTCCTATTTATTGAAAAATATTTACAAGCATTTGGAGCTTATTTGCATTTAGACTATTTTTGTAGCATTTACTAAAATACGCATTTTTTTGCTAGAATTTTTTGCGCATTTTTTTCTAGATTAGTACCCGAGCTATGTATACGCAAATTTCGCAATAAAATTTTACAATAAAACAATTTGGTTTCATTCAAATTTATTCCAACATAAAAAAAACGTAAAAATATTTGTGTTTGTTATTGTCGACGTGCATGAAATACTCAAATAACATCCCCCTAACCCAATCAGTAGTCAATTTAGCGCAAAACTATTCAAAATAAGCGCCTGATTTTGTCGATAAAACAGTCTTGGCCAATCATGGTAATTGTAGCGAGTGTAGGGAGTGGCAATATTTGTAAATTCTACGCCACTGGTCTGTTGTTACTATGACATATTTTAGTTTTTAACTACTTATCTCCATAGTTACACAAACACTTTATTTCATTTCTATAGCAACTATACGAAACTACTCACATGGTCGACTCGTCGAGGATTTAACCATTTCTTTAAGAAATTTTTAAATGTTTTTTTGCAAGTCTAGAATTTTTTTAATCTAGTACATCTGACACTTTCTTAGTCTCCCCAACTGTTTTTTGTAGAATAATGTTTTGAAAAGTCTCGATTGACACTTTACGTTCTGTTTATTAGCAAGAATTGTTTAAATTAGTGAAAGAAACTATTTTTTTGTTAAATCTTAAAGTACAATGTTTAGTAATAATCTTCAAGTATTTTAAAAAGGCCATAGCAAAATAGTAAAATTCAAAAACTCTCCGCCACTGGTCTAATTTTGTATTGTTGCTTTACTTTTTTAATTTCTTGTCTCTATGGTACACACATTTTTACAGTTTATCTATAACATCTATGTGCGACTCGTCGAGGATGAAAAAAGGGTTTTCAAGTAAAATTTGAAAAAAACACTCTAAACTTCTTGTTTAATTAGTTAAAATTCTCCAAAACATTATGTATTTGTTTTGTAAACTTTAAAGTGCAAGTAATTATCAATTATTTTTACAATTCTGTTGAGAGACTTTTAAAATAAATTTGAGTAAAATACAAAAATTCAACATTTGGAGAAATCTCAGGGAAATTACCCGCCACTGATGCTCTCAATTTTTTATTGTTGCTATGACATCTTTCTAGTCACTATAGTTACAATTCAACAACTATACGAAACTACTCACATATGCGACTCGTCGAGAATTTAAGCATTTCTTAAAAAAAAATTAAATGTTTTTTTGCAAGTCTAGAAATTTTTTAATCCAGTATATCTGACACTTTTAGTGTCCCCAACTGTCTTTTGTAGCACGATGTGTTGAAAAGTCTTGATTAACACTTTACTAAATAAAAATGAAACTCTTAGCAAGAATTGTTTAAATTTGCGAAAAAAACAATTTTTTGTAAATCTTAAAGTACAATGTTTATTTTAAAAAGGCCATTGCAAATATTTAGCAAAATAGTAAAATTCAAAAACTATCCGCCACTGGTCTAATTTTGTATTGTTGCTATGACATGTTTCCTTTTTTTAATTTATGTTTCTATGATACACACATATTTATAGTTTATTTCCATAGCAACTATAAGAAACTATATACGCATGTGCGACTCGGCAAATATGAAAAAAGGGTTTTCGAGTAAAATTTGAAAAAAACAAACAACTGAAACTAGTTGTTTAATTAATTAAAATCCTAAAATGCAATACTAAGTTTTAGTAATTATCAATTATTTTTAAAATTCTCTTGTGAGAATACAAAAATTCAACATTTGGAGAAATTACCCGCCACTGATGCTCTCAATTTCTCATTGTTGCTATGACATCTTTCTAGTCACTATAGTTACACACAATTCAATTATACGAAACTGCTCACATGTGCGGCTCGTCGAGGACGGGAAAAGGGCGTTTAAATAAATTCGATTTTTTTTAATCAATTACCAAACGTGCAAACTGCTTTATCGACGTGAGATTTAAAATCGGTTGTTGGGATTGTGTTTGTCCTCAGAGTCCGTCGAGACATTACCTGGTGCGTGATTCGCCAGATCGCAGTCGTCGCGCTGCTGAAGAGGTCTATTCGTATTCGTATTCTTCGGAATCGAGCCGTTCTGGTGACCCCTACTCACGTCCAAGCACCCGTTCTTATACAACAAGCGAAAGTGTAAATCGTTCTTCGAGTTCTGGGCCAGGTTCTTACTCTTACAGTACTGAAAGGTCGGCAAGGAGCTATGGAGATGGACCTGGAGGATACCACTCGAGCTATAGTTCGTCCACTTCGGGACGACTTCCTGGGGGCACGACTTATCGCCATTATTCTTATCGCGTCTAAATTCTAGTCTTTTCTCTCACTAACGCTTAGCTAATAACTAGAAATGGTCACAATTGCGCAAATTTGGAAAAAGTTGTGGCTATTTTTCTTAAATTTTGTATTCAACTATTTGTAAAACGTGTAACATTAATAATAATAATCACTTTGAAATTGTGTCTATTTTTTCACATTTTTTTTCTCCCCCCTAAAAATCGAAATGCAAACACAAATATTACAAAAATTGGCTTTATTACATTGGACGTAAATTTTTGACACACTTTAACTGATCTAAATTTAATTTTTGGCACAGTTACAGCACAAATATTTAATTTAGATACTTTCAGTAAACATGAATTTGTTTTGAAATGTAACTACATACAGGGTGTCCCAGCGAGTTGAAAAAGTCCTTAGTGACATTTAAATGGTAAAATTTAATTAAAATTATATAGGACATTAATAGATACTAATCTAGTCCATCGCCTAAAATTAACTATACAGCGTGTCTCAAATATAAGTTACAACACAAACTTGTGTTTTTTTAAATGAAACACCGCATGTTTCTTAGCGTTTTTAGATGTAGATTTTTATGACAATGTTTTTAAGCTGGTCAATTTTGCTTACTTTTAAAAATAAGACGTTTTTTTGACGAAAACATGTACTTTTTAAAAATTTATTACACCAAAACTAAGACATCTAGAAATGTTTTTTTTTACTACAGCAAAGAAGAAGGTACAAGCTATAAGACTGTAACATTTTTTGAGTGTGTTGCATTTGCAAAGATAAAAAAATGAAGGCGTTTGTTAAAAGTTCAATAACTTAAAAAATTTAAATGGAACACTCTATTTATTTTTTGCATTTAAAATATTATTAAATTGTCTTTCTAAAATTATTTACTTTTAGGTGTTTATAATCAATAACTAAAAAGATATTTAACCTTAAACATTAAAAAAATAATTACTATTGTTTCAGTAGCCAAAAAGTGCACATTTGCACAAGAGATGGAAGAAATATCACTTAATAGTCACATTTGTGTTAAACTAAATCCATTATTCTTTATTTTTACAATAAAATAATTCGAATTTCAGTTTTTATAACGATTTTTACAATCTTTGGATAAATCAAGGGATAAGTGATCCGTGGTGGAATTACTATGATTACCATAGTATCAACAATGCTCAGATATTGATAATCATTGTTGCCCCAATTAATATTGAATGTTAAATATCTTTTCATTTATCAATTCTAGACATTAAAAGTTTTTTTTTTGTAGATAGACAATTTATCAATCTATTAAATGTAAAAATAAAAAATAGGGTGTTCCATTTCAATTTTTTAGGTTATTTAACTTTTAACAAACTTCTTAATTTATTAATCTTTACAAAAATTCTGTACTTTCTTCTTTGCAGAAGGAAGAAAAAAATTGTTCTAGCTGTCTTAGTTTATGTGTAATAAATTTTTAAAAAGTGCATGTTTTCGTCAAAAAAACGTCTTATTTCTAAAACTAAGCAAAATCGACTAATAAAAGTTTAGCGTAAAAACATACAGTGTTTCATTTAAAAAAAACACAAGTTTTTTGGGACACTCTGTATATTTGAAAATAATTTTAGGTGATGCACTAGATTAGTATACCAGGTCAATAAAAAGTATGGAACCAAACGTTTTTTGCTTAACCTATTAATTTTTTGGAAAAACTAATTGATGAACGATAAAGATGTGATTTATCAAGAATAAAATTTTTCAAATTTTTTTTTATTTTTGAGTACTACAAAAAAAAAAATTTTAAATAGCAACCCACTATAAAACTATTTTTCTCATAAAGGTTATGATCTAAGGATTACAACTATCTACTTCATATTTAATTTTATCAAAATTTTTTTTTACGTAAATGCAATTTTGACAAAAAAAATCGCATAACTCAAAAACAAGACAAAATTTCGTTCTCAAAACACGATCTCATTTTTCATACGAAGTATTAATTCGAAATTAATGTATTTTATAAATATAATTGCTTCAATCTTAATTTTAGGCTGAAATAAAGCAATTTGTGTTATTTTCAATCGATTTGGCTCAATTTTAAGTTACAAATTAACCTAAATGAAAGTATTTCAATCAAATACTGACTTAAATAAGAGTTTTCTTTCAAAATAAAGCAATTTGAGCTATTTTCAATACAATTTTGCTCGATTTTACTACATAATAAATTCAAAATTAATGTTTTTTATTAAAATAATTGCTTCAATTCTAATTTTATACTGAAACAAAGCAATTTGAGCTATGTTCAATCTAATTTTGCTCGATTTTAATACAGAATTAATTCAAAACTAATGTATTTTATAAAAAGAACTGCTTCAATCCCAATCTTAGCATAAATAAAGCAATTTGTGATATTTTCAAACGATTTGGCTCAATTTTAAGTTGTATTACGTGAATTTAAGAGTATTACGTTAATTTAATAAAAAAAACGCTTGGTTCCATACTTTATATTCACCCTGTATGTCAATGTCCTATACAAATTTACAATTTAAAGGTCACTAATGTACTTTTTCAACTCTCTGTATGCAATACATTCTAAAATTCCTTTTTTTTAATAAATAGTCCGCTCCATCAAAGCAAGTAAGGATTCTTCCCGGACTCGGTAAAGTAAGTCATTTAAACTTTGTCGAAATAATTTAAAAAAATTGAGAAAAATCAAGGTTCATGTGGTTCACACCTACGACCGAATCGTACCATATGTGGGTCATAAAAGATTGACCGTGGTCACATTACCACCAAAAATTTACTCAACACGGTCATCTGTACTACAAAGGGAGTATGACTGGATCGAAAATAAAGTCCGGCCTTGGGTTGCCTATTCACCAACAAATCGTTATCTTAATTCTGACTCTGCTGTGGTAAGTCTAATTATATTAAACAATAAGCATTTTTAATTAAACTAAGCACGAGTTTTTGATTTTTGATTCATTGTACAGGGTGTGCCGTCTAAACCCCACATTAGAAGCATTGAGAGTTCAAATAATCGTATTTATTTGAAAATTGAAATATTTTCAAGATGGCGGCAATTCCGGTTATAATCGAAAGGTATATTTTTTACTACGTTTTTGGATTAATCGGGTTATTTTAAGGGAGTTTTCATCAGCTTTCCCTATACCTACATTTAGCCGTTTTTGAAATATTTGGAGTTTTTCAAAAATTTTTGGATCTGCACTTTAAAAATCGGTAACTCTGCCATTTTTTAAAAGTTTGAATTCGTTTTTTTGGCGTTTGAAAGAGAAAGGTTAGATCTTTCTTTTGGTGTTTTTAAATTAAAAAAAAATAACAATTGACCCCAAAATATTTTTTATTTTAACTAATTGTTAAACTTTTGAGATTACCATATTAATAATTTTTTTCTTAAATAAAAACGGTTTTTTATTTATTGTTTTACAAAGATATGTTTATGCCTTTTATAAATGTTACAATTTATGTTAAAAAAATTATAAACTTTTTTTCGCCAAAATAAAATCGTTTTTAGACTTCTGGACCATCACTATATATGCGAGAGGAAACTTTGCTTTTTCTACTTTGATACTGTTACGTAATATGTTACATTTTTACGCTCTTAAGTTCTTTATTTTTTTATATGCTTACGTTTTTACGTTAAACTTTTTTTTAATTTTTTTTACATTTTTTGCTTACGAGTTAGTTTTGACATTATTTGAACGGCCGTTAACCTGAAAAAATGTGTAAAATCTTTCCTGTAATAATTCCAAATTACTTCCGATAGTTCTATAAAGAACAAAATTTTCAAAAAAAAAATCCATCAATTCTAGTAGTTTACAAATAATTCCAGTAATTCCAAACAAACCCAACATAATTTTAATAAAACCAAGCAATTTCAGTTAAATTGTACAACTAATTCCAGAGTCAACTATCTACATGTTATTCAATTTTTGTATAATTAATTAAAATCGGTAACTCTGCCATTTTTTTAAATATCGAATTAGTTTTTTTGGCGTTTGAAAGAGAAAGCTTAGATCTTTCTTTTGGTGTTTTCAAATTTTGAAAAAAAAATTAACAAACCCCAAAATTTGAAGGTTATTTTGTAATAATTCAAATACCCATAAATAAATTTTTAATTTAATTAATTTTTCAAATAACTATAATTATTCAAACTCTCAATACTTCTAATGTGGGGTTTAGACGGAACACCGTGTAGTTTTTTTAAATTTTTGACACGCACTAACACACTAACAAATAATCAACGAAATTAAATAGTTCAAAATAAAAATTTTAAACTGTCTCTGTGTTGGAAATATTAGAAACATAGAGATTTGTTAACCTGCAGTTTGTGATAAAAATTTCGGAGTTTTATCACAAACGCTTCAGTTTCACAGCTTTTATTAAAAACTCTCTAAACGAGTGAATTTATTTTTCCAGAGATACGTCTATGTTCGCAATCCAATAACTGGCTTAAAGTATCATTCAGACTATAATCCGTCTCGATATTACAACTTTTATCGAATAATTCGTCCGCTTTCGTCGTATTACGACGATTATTGGCCATTTTATAGGCCTTTAAGTGCATATTACAGTTACTGGCCTATTTCTCGTTCCGTTAGTTATCTCGATGATTATCCTCTTTATCGTTCACTTAGATTACAAAGTGTAAGTATCAAGTGGTTTTGTATCAGTTTTAAAGCACGATAAATCTGATACGAGCATCATTTTATTGTGCTTAATAAATTGTCGTTATAATGCTTAAAGCTCGACATAACATTTAGACGATTATCAAACGATTTACAGGAAGAACACAAAATCATGAAGAAAATCTTAAGCGAGAAGATTTAGAACAAAATGAAAAATTACACGAAATTGTAGTTAGCTTAGTTAAAAAAAAAACAATAATAAAATTCGTTATTTTTTGTGTGATGAAACCTCATTTATTTCCAGAAATACGATTCTGGGCTGTATTATCCTTATTACCGGAACTATTACAATTATTATTATCCTTATTATTCTGATTACTATTGGCCAGTTTGGAGATATAACAGGTACTGGGACACTTATTATTGGTCTCCAAAACGATCACACTATTGGCTCAAATATCTTCCTATTTCTTATAGTTTGAACAATTTAGCACCCTTTTATGCCAAATATTTTCAACGTGTAAGTATTCAATTCATTTCTATTTTTAAAATATAAAAATCTTTTAAAAGATTTTTACATAATGCATTACAAAAATAATACACTAACAATTACTAAATTAGGTGATAATTAATCGGTTTAGTCAAGATGGTAGAAACTGGTTATAACAATTTTCAGATATTTGATGATGAAACGAGGCTGATTCGAGCCCAGACGGCGTCTCTTCTCAAACAGGTCCATCAACCGGTACCAAGAATCAGAACCTGGCCCATTACTCCCTTAAATAGGTAAATTTGTTAAAAATTTAAACAAAAAATGCGTTTAATGTGTCAATTTTGAATCGTAACTTAAGTATTTTGTTTCAAAATTTTTTGATTTTTTATAAAC